CAGGTGAAATTTGAGCAATCTAACTAATCGCAAAGTGGTCAAAATAAGGATTATCTATAAGTATTATTTATGAATGTGCAGGTCAAGAAATGCTCACTACTAGCATTACCATCCTACACAGTGCACCTAATCCATTGATACAGTTGAGACACCTGTGTTCCTCTTATATACTTTTTTCTGACGCTCTAATTACAAGCAAAAATATTTTGTATGTATTTTTAATTATAAAAATAGTCTAATATTACTAAAAAAATCTGCTGGATTAGAATTATATTTGCACTAAAATATAAAATTCCAAAGAGAAGTTTCAAAAAAGAAATTTTTCTGTCATATTCAAATATTTATGAATAAATAATTTTGCAAATTGAAAAAATTTCAATGATAAATAATGGTTTCTCTTTTATCTAAATAACTGCAAATATATGTGCAAATTTCAAAAATCATTGTTTAGTAGTCAGACCAGTTACGAAGATTTTGCCTTTAACGCAGAAAAAAATCCTGCTCTATTTCCTAATCACGAATTATTAAAATGCTGGATATAATATTTTCACTTATTTTGATCGAAATTAATGCAAGATGGAAAAAGTATGAAAAACGTGTTTAATAAAAAATCTGCGTCAAAAGTTTAAACACTTGAAACTGGTTGAAAAGTGGTCTGAAACTGGATTTTCGATTAATTATTTTTGGAAAGAATATAGCGATAAGATCTGAATGTAATAGAATTGATTGAAACTAGAGATGTCAAGCAGTACAGAGCTCCATTTATAATGTAATCACTCTAGCTAATCGGTCAGTTGTCGAAATTTCGATTAACTATAAATTTCTAGTAGTAATAACACAGCGATAAATTCTGCTTGTGGCAAGGCTGTCAGGAAGTAAGAATCTTTTAATTTGTCGTAAGGCTCCGAGTTCTAATATAGCTTAAAACACCCTAGTTTTTCGGAAAAAAGTCGTACTTTTTTTCTAGCGATCAATGAACTTTACAATAGTGTTTTGATAAATTTTGATTGCAGTGATCAAGAATTTACAGAAATTTGCATCGTCGTCAAGAACTGAGGTACCTTTACAAAACAAGCACTCTAGTAAATCAGAAAGTGGTCGGAAACTTCTTTTAATAATAATATCGTGATAAACTCGGCAGTCGTGATAAACGTGAACAGTCGGAAATTGATTGCTGATAGTATTGTAATCCAGCATGGAGCCTCAGTTAAGATTTGAGTGCTCTAGCCAGTTTTAATATGATCAGAAAGCTTTATTTGAGAATAAATTTCCTTTGATGTTAAATCGCTATAAATTCTGCTGGCAACAATCGGAAAATGATCGAATCTTGAATTGACATTGAGTACGGAACTTGAGAATGGTTTTGAGTATTAGAGCTGGTCGGAAAGTATTCTGAATTTTGACTACAAGATTCCATCGACACAAGCATTCACCCATCGAAAATTTATAGCAAAGGTGGCAAGATTCCATTGAATTAATAAAATTTCAATGAAATAGAAAGTATATTTATATTAAGTTAAAAGTATTTAAATAATAAAAAAATATGTTAATAATATAACAATAAAAAAAAGCTTTTACCATCCTAGTTTTTTTGTAAAGTTATCAATAATTCACACTTATAATTGGATACCTGCAAGTGACGTCATCGTAGGCAAAACGTGGCATTAGTTGATTTAGAAATCAATCAGGTCCGAGACACACGCTTGACGTCGCTTACATTTATCTAATTAAATTTGATTTAAGTCACATGGTTAAGCATAATCACTTCCGTTCTTCTCTTGTTGCAAGTACAGTCGGACTTTTATTTAACGAACATTTTGCGAATTTTTTTCGAGGAACCAAGAATATTTTAGAAATTTCTTCGTAAAATAACTTCCAAATAGCGAGGTGAATATTCTATTTAGCGAAATTTTCTTCTAGATCCACTTTCCCTATTTCCCAAAATATTTTAGAACATTTCAAACTTGATAACGCATTTTATGGGGGAAGTGATCTCGAATTGATTTTCTAAGTCACTTAAGTTTTAGAGCAATCAGTAAAATTCCTTTTCCTTTTTGTTTACATTTCAAGCGAAAAAGTCAGACAAAATAAACGGATTTTATCAGTAGCAATTAAACTTAAGAACGCACGTTGTAATGTGTGTTTAAAATTACTTTAGCTATAATTTTATACACAAATTTAGCTTCTTTTAGTTGAAAATGTGTGTATCATGATAGTGTAGCACTGGATAATGTTTTGCTCTATTCTTGCTTTCTATGCAGATTACTTTTATGGCTAAGATTTATAAAATAAATAGTAGATGCTAGTTTACAAGATAAAGGTGTATCGATTGTTATTTTAATTATGTCTAGTGTTTATGAACTTAAAACCCGTTTTGTGTTGCTTAAGTATCGTAAAATGTGATTTTCTATTTAACAAATTTTCCATTTAACGAACTTATTATCGGGATTAAGCAACTTCGTTAAATAGAGGTCCTACTTTACTTAATTATGCTACTCATTTAAGTTTCATTATTAACATATCTTTAACTCAAACATCGCATTATACTAAAGAAGAAATATTAAAGTTACAAAAAAAAAAAAAACAATGTGCAAGCCAAAAGTTCCCATCACGGAGAGAAGAAAGTTAAATTTTAATTAAGCGTCGCCAAGTGTGTTAACCATTCCACCATCTTTCTCTTCTTTCTCTTTGGCAACCCCGCTATTTCGGACAATTTTAAAGCTATTCTTGTAACTCTCAAACTTAAGTCAGATATCAGAAACTCTACTTCGGACTTTGAGATCGCTTTCACTTAAACCAAATTATTTCACAATAAATATAAATGAATTAGTAGGACTATTTACATAATAAAATATCCACAAGTTTGTTTCGTGCATATTCGTACATCAATAAAAATAAAAGTCATCTATATTGGAATTTATCGCAGATTTTAACTTATAAAAAATAAATCAATGTAATATTAATAATACAAATAAATTTAAAGAGCATTAATAATATGAATAAATTTAAGAAGAATACCGTTACATAAAAATATAATTAACCTTATATTGTAAATAATGAATCGAATAACATAATAGTATTTATTAGAGTTATGCAATAGATGGAGAAAAAAAACTTTAGTATCTATACCAGTGGTTACCAACTGGCGGCCTGCGAAGGCTTTTTTTGTGGTCCGTGCGTGAACTAAAATATATCAGTTGTAATTTTTTTTACGGACAATTTTCGTAAAAATTTTATATGGCTTTCAAATACTTTTCTTTCGTTAAAAAAAACCTAATTTCTTCGTTTCTGTGAAATTCAACATACCAACGGTGTAAGTGATTTTTTGGTCTCAGGTTCTGCATACAAGATTTTGCAATTATCAGGTTTTGCATCCAAGAAAATATTTATTCAAATAAAAAAATAATCGTGTATGTCTGCCGTTTTATTTCGTTTTTTTTGCATTTTGTGAATATAATTTATCATGTGCGCATCAGAAATTTTTTATATGTAATGCTCCTTCAAACATAAAAGAGTCCTATATGAAATTTTGATAAAGTTGAGGCCCGCCACTTGACTGGTGTTTTTAATTGCGGCCCCCGGTCTCATGTAAGTTGGAAACCCCTGATCTGATCTATTCTGAAGTAATTTTAGCGAACAAAAAGATAGTTTATGAATTCTGCATTCATTTTTCTAGCGAAGTATACTATTGAAATTATGTAGTTTATCAAAGTTAGTTATAATTAACTTCAATAAACTCTATTGTTTGTATGTGTCATAGTCTATTTGAATTATTCAGCTTTTTGAAAGCAGCCACTAATTGTCAAAGTTTTCAGTGTTTTCTAATCAAACGGACACTTTTTCAGAATTAATACAGTGAGCTTATACGTCTTTAGACTAATTAAGAAATATATCATTTATTGCCTAAATTGTCTGATTAATGTCGGGCAGCTTGCAATAAGCCCAGAGTAGCGAAGACTTACAGTAAATAGTCGAGGAAATTGTTTAGCGCTATAAGAATATGTGAATTTTATCAAATCGAATAATTCTTAACTCTTTTCCCGATTTACCAAAAAACTAAAAAATAATGGATAAATTGAAAATTCTGAAAATTTTTCCAATTTGCCTGACGCATTGCAAAGTGCCGAAGACATTTGCGAAGTGCCGTTTTTTTCTATTAGGCTATGACACGTATAACTAGAGGTTTACGAACATAAATACATTATAAGGGAGCTTAAAAATATTATTGAATCTAAAAAGAACGCGTAATTTTCAATATAAGGTACTAATTTAGGCATAATAGCATTGATACAGTTAAGAATAAAAGCCGAATATTTCAATTAGCCAACGAAACATATAAACAATGGATTACGAACATTAATTCTTTGTAAGAGATATTATTGAATTTAAGAAAAATGTTTCATAATCAATATGTATTAATTTGAGTCAAATCGCATCGATACAATTTAGAATACAATTTTTTTTAAAGCCTATACATTGCTTGTGTAGTATTGTATTGAATAACACTTCTGCATAATGTATAATATTTAGCATAATCTATTAATTTAAGTGTAATACCATTGTTACCATTAAAATAATATTATTTTAACTGCTATACATCTCTTGTAAAATATTGTATTGTATACATCTCTTGTATAATGTATAATATTTAGCATAATGTATAAATTTAAGTACTATAGTATTGATACAGTTAAGAATAATATAATTTTAACGCCTATACATCTCTTTATTACAAAGTTAACAATCACGGAAGGCATGTAAAGGAAAATGAACCAACTTTATATGAATAGCAAATGAGAAATTCGAAAATTCCGCGGCATCCCGGCTGGAATAGCGGATGAGGCAACCAACAGAGCATATCCAGTAGCTTCTTCATTTTTTTTCCACCTGTTGCGATCTTCGTTTATTTGTTTATTTATTTTTTTTCCAAAATATGAAGACGAAACGCGAATTGCTGACCCTGCCTATAAATGTGAGAGCGTTTCTCCAGAATCGACTTCGGTATCTTCGTGAGTCGGTAGTGTCAGTTGCATCTTCAACTTCAGTGAGTGAAAGTAGTAGTTATAGAGTGACGGGGGTGACAGATGATCTAGGATCTCGTATTTACATGGAATCAGTGATTTGCCTTTAAATATCAAAGGATTTTTTTCTCTCTCTTCATATTTGTGCTAAGTGTGCAGAAGTACATCGACCGTTCTGGATGGCTTTGTACTTTTGGATCATTTCTTATCTGTTGGCTTTGTGTCTTGGTTATTGTCAATCACAGGGTAAGTTAATTATTGTAATTAAATATTGTCATTAATTATTTTTTACTTTATTGAGTCATTTTACAAGTACATTAGAAACAAAAAATTATTTGCTTATTTCATTTTAGCTTATTGATTAAAAATTCATAAATTGTCTCCAGATTTTCATATAAAAATTTACAAATTCTCAAGTACTGTAATTATTTACTTTTGGTCACATTAAGCCATTTCACAAGTATCTAGGACAAAGTATAACAACTTATTTCATCTTTACTTATTGATTAAAAAATATATAAATTATCTTTAGGTTTAAATATTAAAATTTACAAATTTTTAACTTATTTTAAATTTATAATTGTCATAAATTTGATATCAGGAAATTTTATTTAGTAAAATTTATCATTCAAATATAAAAAATTATAAATTCTTATATTATTTTTAATTTATAAATTAAATAAATTTAATACTTTTATAAACAAAAATTTATTATTTACATATAAAAACTGATAAATGCATAATTCAATATAAATTAATAAATGTTTTGATTAATTTCTGATTAATTAATTTATAAAAATTAAAATATATTTAAAATTATTAGTTATTGTTGAATATTATTAATATTTAATTACGAAAAAATTTATAAATTATCATTGAACGCTAAATATGTAGTTTATTGTGAACAATAGAATATACACTTAGGAAATAGCAGGAATTAACACACTTTACAATGTGCAAGTATTCTAACACTTACATTCATAATTTTTCATTAAGATTTAATTTACATATTAAATTTTAGCGACATTATTTTAACTGATAAACCTAAAAATTGGTAGTACAGTTATTTGTTAACCATTTTTTTTCTTGGTGCCACACAAGACACTTTTCCAAAGTGTTCATTTGTAATATAAAACTTGTAATTTTTTCTGCAATCATAATTTTTTGACTAAGAAACATTGTAAAACATCTAAATATTTTAAGCATCGATGTTATATCCTCTTTTTATAAAAGCACTTTTTATATTATTACTTGCCTTCAGATTTGATCCTAAATAAGTTTAAATAAATATAACACATAAATATTCCCGTATTTATTCCTAATATTAAACAATCTAACACTGAACAACTCCTTCAACTTGACTACCTTTTCGATTGTAAAAAAGTAAAATATACCGAAAATGCTGCTTTCCACTTTTCATATTTGAAAGAGCAGCAACCGTAAACTACAGAGCAGAATCAATCGAACTTTTTACAAGTAAGTCTTGCTATATTATCTGTAAAAATGTATAATGATTATGCTGCTTGAGTATGAAGTTAACAGTGAAAAAAATACATAAAAAATGCGTACAAAATACAGTCCTCCGTTGAGAAAAAACGAACAAACTCCGTTTCCGAACAAAATTTAAATTTCGAAGTAATTCAACTTAGTTTAAATAAACAAGAAAAATACTTAAAGTGTTACTCACCAATTAATTTGTACACAAATAAATTCGAGCAAATTATGTGTAAAACGTTTTTAAAATATTTATGAAGTTATAGATTGTTTTGAACTTCTTTTTTTACTCTAAATTAAAGGACCGTTCCAAATTATCAGTCAAAGTGGTAGTCAATTGTCAATAAGTAAAAGTTTGCTTTAATTCACAAATATTTTTTATCCAGGTAGTTTTAGTAACATATATCATGAAAAAAATTTCAAATTTTTTTTTACTGCTCACAAACTAATTTTGCAAAATAGTTTTTACACCAAGAAAGGTTTAAAAGAGCAAAATTTTTAAGTTTTTCGTTCTTTTTTATGTACGAAAGATTAACACTTTTTTAGCAAACGATTACAAACGCATTTTCGTATTCTTTTCTAAACTTTTATTTTTTAAAAAATGAAATGTTTGTCTTGAGTTTAAAAAATAACAATTTACAAAATAATGTTAACCCCAATAAATATTTTTCAGTGAAATATTTTTTTAATCAAAAATGTTCTTTTTTAAAATGTAAAAATTAAACATTTTTTCAGTAAACGATTGAATTACGAGTTTTCACTATCGTTTTCTTAGTTCTTATTTAAAAACAAATGTTTCAGTACGTCTGAAAATAATGAGATTTCTTGGGAAATTATCGATATTTCGAGTTTAGTTATTAATTTTCCTGCTATAAGTTCCTTATTTTAGGAACGTTATAGACCACCTATTTTAATATGTGTGTTTTTAAGGTAAATTTATAAAGCTTTCAATTTCATTACTTTTATCACCAAAATGAATTCGTTTCAAACATTTTAAAATATAATATCGTTCCTCTGTTATGATTTTTTTCTATATTATTAAATTTTGCGCTGTTTATATACAACAATAAAAAAAAAATTTCCACGAGCGTAAATAATGCAGACGATTTTATTTCTTCAATAAATCTATTGAGTAAAACTTGTATATTCATTAAAGCTTTGTTTAACCCCACCACCAGTTAATATAATTTAGTATTCTAATTGATATATTTTAAGATACCCCATACTTAGAAGAAAATCAGTTACTTTGTTTTTTTTTATTTATTATCTATAAATATGTGTTTTATAAAACTACCATGAATATTTATATAAATAGTAATTATAGACCAAGTTTTTACAATAATTAACAATTAATAAGTCTCTAAAATAAATGCTCTTCAATTGGCAGATTTTTTAAAAAGAAAAGTGGCATAGTCTCGAATAACGAACGGTATCAATTTAAAGAATTTAAGGATAAAACAAATTCCGAAACAAAAGTATTCTAAAAAGATAATTATCTAAATCCCAAAATCTTTCTAACAAAAAAAAAATATTCATTTTATTAAATTCTCTATTCCTAATAATGGACGAAATTTGATGAATTGTGATCGAAGCAGTGAACACAATAATAATTTAGAAACATAAGACGCATTTTCTTCTTTGAATTTTTGAAACAGTTAAATAAAGAAAATTATCACATAGGTTTCCTAATTAAAGTAGTAATTCTTATGAGCTTAAAAAAACATCACAAATAACACTTAATTTAAAAAACAAATTTCTTGTACTAGGTAAGAGTCTTCTTGGTTTGAAGGACACGCTTAACATTTGCCTATTAATTATTTCTTGTAATTTATTAAGATAAGGCTCACACAAAAGCGGACTTACTTTTGATCTTTTTATCCGAGGATTCAAACACTTTATCAAATCCTACAGTCTGTAAATTTTGAATAAGTAGATCAATGCTTAAATTTTTTTTTTTTTTAAATTTTTGTCTAATCACTTGAATAAAAAAAAAGCTGTTACCTACAATTTGAAAATTTTTTTCTTCGTGATAAAAAAATTTTTCATATTTTCCTCAGATTTAAACTACATAATTTCAAAAACAAAATGTTTCAATTAAACTAAATTTTATAACTTAGTTCTACACGATTTTAATTTAGTCATAAAAAGGAAATGTAATAACTATTGCATGAGCAAATTCTCTTTCTTCTTGCAAAAAACTTTTAACTTCTTCTGCTATGTTTTTATAATGTGTTTATAGATATTTAAATACTTTTAAGTGAATTTTTTCTCGATTATTTTTGCTTCACGTTACATTTTGCTGCTCAAAATCTATAAGATTTGGAATCTTGAAAATACGAAAATCTGTAGAAAATGTATGAGTAGTATAAGTATAAAAAACAAACGATTCAATTATTAATTCGAGAAGTATCAACTATTAAACTTATAGTAAGAAAGATTGGTCCATCTACTGTCACCTGAAATGCAACTACAGAGTTGAAATTTGACGTACTGATAGTACCATTTTGAGTTACAACTTTAACGAGAATTTTTTTCGAAATTTCTATTTGTTCGAGAATTATTGCAATGTTAATGAGTTTTTTCCCATTTCTTTTGCTTTAAATAATAATTATATCTCCATTGTTGTATATAGAGAGAGATTGTGTTCGATAAAAAAAACTCAGGAAACAAACTAGTGTACGTCATTTATCACTAACTCTAAAAGCATATACTCTCATTTATATTGTATTATATTATATTATATTATATTATATTATATTATATTATATTATATNAATAAGAATATATATATATATATATAAAGAGAGAGAGAGAAAAACCTCCACCATCTCTGTGTAACGACCTTCTATAATTACGACGATTTTTGGGAGGGGAATCACGGAATTTTTTCCATAGAATTTGCGTTGAAGAAGATATTTAGGTGAGACCATTAAAACTTCTCTCAGCAACCGGACAGTCCTTCGCACCAAATGCGGAAAAGGTCAAATAAGGAAACACGAAAAAATACCAAAACAAAAATTTTAATAAAACAAATTAGATAGAAATAATTGTGTGAGACTCTTGTTTAGAGAGCTCTTTTCGGCGATCTCTGAAGGAGATCTACAACCTCATGATGCAGTCATGAAACAAGGCATCTCAAACAAACAAGTTTTGAAACTAACTATTTTTTTACGATTTAAAATTCAATACGAACTTAAACAAAAAACAAAATGTTTATTTATTTAAAATAGTCCTATTCTTTCATAATTGGTAAATTTTTTTACCCATAATTATATCAGTACAGGTCATTTACATTGACTCTAAATTTTATTCACGAATCTCGTTTTGATGACGCCACCACAAATGGCATTTCCGCACCAAAAAATGACACTGAGTAATATTAAATAACAATTGAATAATTAATATAACAGTTCTTTACCATTAATATCATCAATAACAACAAGAATCCATATTCTGTCTAATTCTGACGTGAAAAGTACGCATAGCAAACTAATTCAATTGTATTGGTTATTAGAAAGCGGAGTTTTCGTTATTATAAACTTTTCAATTGTTTTTCTTGTTTCCTGATTTTAACTATTCTACTACACACGTTAATGCAATTCTTTTCAACCTCGTCAAAATTTCGCACCAAATTGTTTTGAACTTGTGCAATTATATGCAATTCCATTTCTAGTGTGGGCGCATCCTTTCACTTTTGAAGAAAGTTAACGTAAAAACAACCCCTCCGTTGCATCAAATTATATGCATGTTAT